GGGACAGAACTATCTGGTCAATGGTGATCTGAGCATCATTGTCGGTCAGGAGCAGGATGCGTACGGAGGTGGGTTCGACAGGAATGACTCGTTTGAAGGTGACATTACCGACCTGCACATGTGGGACCGGGTGGTGTCTGCGTGCGACCTCAGGTCCTACATGAATCAGGGCTCCTTCTCTCCGGGAAACCTCCTCAACTGGAACAACCTGAACTTTGATGTGTCAGGGAACGTCTCCATCCAGGATGCAGATTTTGAGGAACCAGTCTGTCAGTAAAGTGTTCTTACTGTGAGCGTAGGGCTTCAAGTTCCAGCTTCAAGCACTTTTTATGAAACAGCAGCCATTCGGTGGATGCTTCATGGTGGCTGATGCTGTGTCATCGTTTCCAGATCAATTAAAGTTCTGATGTCTCATTCTGCTCGGCTTAATTTATTTATTCACAAGATTTACACCAACATAATCCAGTCAGCACGTCACAGGTAGTGGAGGTAAACGAAGTCACTGCTATATGGTCACACCTGCACACTGAAGCCAGCACGCAGGTGTAGATTATGCATTTAAAAGCCTCAGGGTTAGCATTTGGCTGCTGCCATTTTAGTGAGAACTAAGCTATGAGCTAATGCCAGCTAGCTTATGATGACGATGAAGCTTTATTTGTCACTTGCAGTTGCCTGCAGCGAAACTGGACCTCTTCTGACCATACATATGTTACACAAACATCACATCAGGGAGACAGGTCAGAACAGGTACCGTAAAGAAAAACAATGTACAGCACAATAGGTGGTGGAGGAGAAGACAACTCTACTCGGACTGAGCTCCTGGTAGGAGTTTGAGGGGAATGTATGTCAGTGTCTGTATATGTGTGTGTGTGTGTGTGTGTGTGTGCATGTGCATATGTTTCCTGTGTTCAACTGAGAGAGTTTTCATTCACCCGGTTTAGCAAAATTAAACAGTCCTGTAGGAAGTAGCGGTTTTTGATATGGGCGACACGGGCGGTTGCCCGGGGCGGCATCGTGGTGGGGGGCGGCATCACGGGCATTGGGAAAAAATAATAATAATTTGCTCGTACTCATCCTGCCCCGACGTCAGCCAGCACATTTTGGGAATGTCTATCGCGCATTTGCAGGGAGTAAGGGCGCCCTCGTTTGCGAGGTGTGCCTGCTGCTTGCGGCACAGGGAGGAGAGGGCGGGGTTGCGGGTGATTTTCTGGCTGGCTGGAGCAGCATTTAATAACCAACTCACAAAATAAAAAAAATAAAAACAAACCAACAAACACGAAAACACCAGACATAATGATACAGACTTAAAATTTGCACTGATGTTTTTTCTAAATTCTGTATGCGAAAAGTGAGCGCGAGAGCCCTTGGTGCACCTGCACTTTATTGTCATCTCCGCTACATACAGCTACATACAGTACAGTATATAGAGAGACAAGACGACAGGGCTCCAGTTACAGCAATGCAAGTAAACAAACAATAAATATAAGAAGAGTAAGAAAAAAATATACACAAGGGATCAATAACAATTTAAAATTTAGATTTTACAGTTTGATGATTTAAAGTCTCACACACAACCTGTTGAAAGACGAGGGGGGCGGGCTGCTTCCAGATAGAGCACATTTCATTCCACTGCAGGGCAACCTGCCACTGCATGTGGCGAATAAAATTTGAACTTGAACTTGAACTTGAACATTTCATTCATAATGTTGTAAATCCAAATCCATTATGTAGTCATGATTTGAATCCTGGGTTGTGCGAAATCCCAGAAATAAATCCTAGACAATGCATATCTGTGAACTAAGGTGTAGGCTTATTAGGTTATGTTGTGGTCAACCTTGGGTTAGGGGATGGGTGTTCATACTGGAGTGCAAAATGAAAACCAATGGAAGATGGACAAGAAAAGTTCAAAGCCATCAGGAGCTCCACAGGGAGTGTTCGCCCAGGGCGCCAAACAGGCTAGGACCTGTGTGCATGGGTGTTGGACTTCCTCGCTGGCAGAACTCAGGTGGTGAGGGTGGGCAGGTGCTTCTCCAACAGCATCACCATCAACACAGGAGCACCTCAGGGATGTGTCCTCTCGCCACTGCTCTACTCCCTCTACACTTCAGACTGTGTGGCCACCCATGGCTCCAACACCATTGTGAAGTTTGCTGACGACACAGTGGTGTTGGGTGCCATCTCCAACAACGATGAGGCGGCCTACATGGATGAAGTGAAGAATCTGGCATCGTGGTGCCAGGACAACCACCTCCAGCTGAACGTCAGCAAGACCAAGGAGCTGGTGGTGGACTTCAGAAGGGGTCAGCACAGAGACTACAAGCCCATTATCATCAATGGAGCTCCAGTGGAGAGGGTGCAGTCCTTCAAGTATCTTGGTGTCCACATCTCCTCAGACCTGACATGGGCTGCCCACATTCAGGTCCAGACCAAAAAGGCTAGGCAGCGCCTGTATCACCTACGACAACTGAGGAAGTTCAGGGTCTCTCCAAAGATCCTCAGGATTTTCTATACAGGCGCTGTGGAGAGCATCCTCACACAGAACATGACATCGTGGTTTGGGAACAGCTGTGTGAAGGACCAAAAAGCTCTCCAGAGAGTGATCCGTACAGCAGAACGCTGCTGCAGGATTGCTCTCCCCCCGCTTCAGGACACCTACACCAGGAGATGCCGGACTAGAGCAGCGCAGATACTGAAGGACCCGTCCCATCCTGGCAACAAACTGTTCCAACTTCTGCAATCTGGTAGAAGGTTCCGCATCTTCCGGGCAAGGACAGAGAGACTCAAGAGGAGCTTCTATCCCCAAGCCATCCGTGCCCTAAACACACACACCCGCCCTCTCACATCATCTATAATTGACTGAGACAGGACTCTTCCAGACACTAAACCAAGGCACAATGTACATTTCAATTCCTTTAATTTTAAATATGTTTATATTGTCTATCCTGTAAAATAGTCAGATGTCTATTCATATTAATGTACAGAATTCACCTGCTTGCTGCTACTACTGCACATTCACCCAATGTATATACTATATATATATATATATAATGTTCTTCCTCTACACCCCCCCCCCCCCAATTTTTTTGCACATGTCGAGGAGCGTGTCAGGCTACATTTCACTGTGTGTTATACTTGTATAACTATGCATGTGACAAATAAAGAACCTTGAACCTTGAACCTTGAACCTTGAAGGACCGCCACTGCCTGTAGGTATAAATCTTATATGTCCTCAATTGACAGTCCTGCCTGGCACACAAATTGTCACTTCTGCCACTCTTCCATTGTGTATCCGGCAGGAAACGTCCCTCCCAATGATGGGAGTAATGGCGTTATAAGTAATGGCGTTATAAGTAATGGCGTTATAAGTAATGGCGTTACTAATGGTGTTACTTTTTTCAGTAACCTAACTAATTACTATTTCTATCGCTACAACGCCGTTACCGCCACTAACAAAAAAATGTGGTGCCGTTGCGTTACTATTTTTCACATGGTAAATGGCCTGTATTTATATAGTGTTTTACTAGTCCCTAAGGACCCCAAAGTGCTTTACACATCCGGTCATCCACCCATTCACGCACACATTCACACACTGGTGATGGCAAGCTGCATTGTAGCCACAGCCTACTGGTGGCGCACTGACAGAGGCGAGGCTGCCGGACACTGGCGCCACCAGTAGGCAACGGGTGAAGTGTCCCGCCCAAGGACACAACGACCGAGACTGTCCAAGCCGGGGCTTGAACCAGCAACCTTCCGATTACAAGGCCAACTCTTGAGCCACGATTGCCACTTCAAGATGACAAAGCAACAAGGTGCTATATACCAGCTTTTAAATTGTGTTGATAGGCCACGTAAAACCAGATAAACAATGATAAACAATATATACGTGTGTTTTTTCCTGAATACTTTTGTCACGTTTACTGTCTAAGGACAGAGCAAGCAAGCACTCTCTGCTCATGACCAAAAAATTAAAAAAACAAAAAACAAAACAAAACAAAAAATACCCCTTTTGTGTTGGTGGAAATATGTACCACGTCGACCAATCAAAAAATTATATGGCAACATGACATTTGGTTGTTTAGGAAGAGGGGGAAGTTTTAGGAGAGAGAAAGAAAGAGCAGAAAAAAAGAGAGAGAGCGAGTTCTGAGATGTGAGAGATTTGTGACATTTAGCGTGTTTGGAGTGTGTAGTTTGTGATTGTTTCAGTAAAAAATATAACTTTTTCTGCTATGTTTTTTGTCTGATTTTAGATCAGTTGTGTTTATACAGTATGTCAAAATGAAAACATAGGGACCAGTTGATCAAATCCATATTCTCTAGGTTATAGAGAACAATACATGCCTGCTAATCAGTGCTCAGTAACACCCAATCAAAACCTGTGATTTTCAGTCACAAACGCTGGAGCTCAGACGTCTTGGACAGTCTGTCACAGGGCGAGGTTCACACTTTAGAGGCCCTCATCATGTTAGTCATACAGGGAGACAGAGAGACCTCTAGTGGTGAGTTAGTCCATGACATCTTTCAACTTCATGTCTAAAATGTATTTAATCCAGTCTAGATGCTCACTGGAGCATACACTGGAGAAAGTAAAGAAGAGGAAATGTTGACTGTGGTCCTCACCCTCTCTGACTACCTGTCACTTTACTCTGATGCTGACTGGCTGTTTCCGCAGAATATTTCTACTTGTGAATCCAAACTGCTGCTGCTCCATCAAAACTCATCAGATCATCAGTTAGCTCCATCTGCTGGAGAGACCACTGACTTACATCATCTGACGTGTGTGCTCTCTGACACTGACCGGGTCTTTCCTCACAGGTTAGACTGGTTTTGACATCTGATGTCTCTCTGAGGTTATGAGCATGTGACACTGTGTTAAGATCAAACACTCACAGACTCCAGGACTGACGAGGAGAACAAGCAGCTGCTTCTCCCCTGATGTTTTGTCCACACAGGAAGCTGTGAAGTGCCTGGAAGCTGACCTGAGGTGAGTTCAGCAGGTGAGAATCCTTCCAGAGAAATGTGAACACGTCTGTGGATCACTCTCACTGTACGGCACGAGTGCTTTCTAATGCTGACTGGCTGTGTGGGCTCGTCAGTATTAATCCAGTGAAGAATCTGAATCTGAGAACACTGATTTCAGAATCAGGGGTGTGTATTTTGGTGGTGGTTGTTGTGGACTGTAGTCTGAGTTTGAGTAAGTGGTGAAAAATGCCGGGAATGTCTGAACTGGTATGACACTTTAGAGCAGCTTAAACTTATTTTCTAAGAATAAATTCTCAGAGTTGAGTTGTCTTATAACAGACTTGGATGCACTGAAGGCCTTTTTGTTCCACATGTTTAACCTGAAAACGACCTGGAAAATAATAATATAAAATATAAAATTTTATTTATATAGCACCTTTCTAGACAGAGTCACAAAGTGCTCCACATAAGATAAAAAGTCATAAAAAAGTAAAACAGACAATATAAAACAGGCAAAAATTAACCAAAAGCCCTTTTAAAAAGGTGAGTTTTGAGTTGTTTTTTAAAAACAGCTACTGAGTCCAGAGTTCTTAAGGTTTGGGGAGAGAGTTCCACAGTCTAGGGGCCACAGTAATTGACTAATTTTGAACTGAACTGGGTAACTGGGAAGCAAGTGAGAAGAGAGGATTACATACTGGAAAGACTAAAGTCTGACAGCCGGGGCGCTCCGTCATCTCAGCGTAGAGACGACAAGTCAGGGTTTCATACAGCTCATAAAATCAAAGTGTATGCCGATCTAACAGTGTATGTTGACTGGACAGAACAGGTCCTTCAGTACACAGGCTGAATGACAGGCTACACTGCAGCTGCACGGCTGCAAATCCGGGTCCTCCCTTTAGATGAGCTTACACAAAATACTGAACTAATAACTACCAACTGTCTGAATTAACCTAGATTTACAAGTATCTTTTAAACCTAAGTACCTACTCTTCAAGTTTCTACTTGATGTAATGATTTATTTTGAAATGTCAGTTGTCATCTCTGGCTGTGTGCCAGGTAGACCCACACACAGCCAGAGATGTGTGTGGGTCTACCCACAAAGAGTTGAACTGAAAGACACAGCTTTTTTTTTGCTGGAACAAAAATACTCAACAACTAAAACATACAAAATGCCACAAAACTCAGGATGTGTGACAAATGTCTACAGTCTGATTCTGGTTTTGTTTCTGTCAGGCTCCAGCAGCAAACAGCAGTCTCTCCTGTAACCAGCTCAATGTCTGTGCACTCAGCTTTGGCTTTTAATGGCCAAGCATCATCTGGAGAAATGTGAGTTACCTTGTGAGTGTGTAATACACGATGTCCTCTTTATGCTGTAGAACTAGAACAATTAAAGTTCAAGTTAAAAAAAATTACAACAATGTATATAGCTACCTCACCTCCACAGAAATGACGTAAGCTACTCAGTTTACCAAACAACATGTCACAGACAGCCTGTTAGAGAGTTATCTCTGAGATGCTGATGTGATAGCTCCCTCAGGACAAAGACTGAGGGACCAGTCAGAGAGTGGGCTCAGGGAGTGCTTTCCAGATACTTTAATGAACATTAACAGCAGGCCAGTAGTACACCAATTGGTATACTCAATGAGAGTATGGGAGTGCGTATGTGTGTGGTTTTAAATAACAAGAAAACAGGGAGAATAACAATCATTGCTTTTCAACATCACACACCAATAATGAATTACAACATAAATGATTAAATAAATGCTCTGGCTTAGGAAAATCTCACAGTGCCATTTTAAACAGGTAGAAAGCAGGAATATCTGCATATCCAAAACAACAGAAAAGGCCTAATATCTCAAAATTAGTAAAGATCAGCAATTAGGTGTTCAACAGAGCCCTCTAGTGGCCAAATAATCTAACTGCTATACACAAATCCGACCAGTATCAAAGGCTACGGTGGTAAGTTATATGCGTCTACCAATATCAATCAAATCTCCAAACACACTTTAAATGAGTCAGTCTTTTAAAACTACTTCTGCCTAAAATATTCATATCAAGTTTTAATTATATTTCGGGGTTTTTAACCCTTTAAATCCCAGTTTCTTTACATGAGCGCACCATTTTTTTAGCCGAAAAAAACAAAAGACTTAAGTAATATTTGATTGTTATTATAATTAGGCCTTTAGATGGTCCAAAGATTGGCACCAACATTCATTTTGATTGATCATTATTTTTTTTGCAGGGGCAAATTAAAAAAAAAAAAAAAACTTACACTGGTCAACCTAGGGACCCAAAACGGTCTGACTCACGTTTGCACAGGAAAGCACACTGCTGGAAAACGCTACTCCCAGGCACTTATGGAAAAATGCCCTTAGGAAAATTTATTGATGTATTAATTACCACTACTGTTATAACAATGCAGCTGAAATATAAGGAGACTTTCTGACACAGCCTGTTCACATCCAGCTCCATGGATGTATCACTGCTCTCAGCGTCTGTGATCAGAGTTTGGATCAGAAGTAGGTGAAAACAAGGGCAGTTGGTCACCTGCCCACAGTGATGCCACCTGGAGGAGCAAACAGCATGCAAACGTTGTTCTTCAGCATAATCACATACAGCCATGATATTCACTGTTGGGTCTGTCTAGCACAGACCCACTGCTGGAACGAGACAATTCTACTACAACAGCAAAAGCAAGACGCAACTCACCAAAGTTCTTTGTCTTACTCATGCACGAGGGAGAGAACTGTGACGAGCGTCGTTCCTTCGCTTGACCCAGTTGCTCTCGTCTGCCCCCTCATAACACTGCTCTTTATTACAGTTACATGACTATGCATAAGTTCATTAACATATGAAGTTTTACACAGGCATACATGTGAACAACGAGTACCATGTCTGTGTGTATGTATAGGCATGCGCGTGTGTGTGTGAGGGGGGTCAAGTATGGGCTCAAATTGTGGTCATAAATATTTTGTACTTGTAAGTCAGGATTTGTATGTGTAAAAAGAATTTGTATGTATGTAAAAAAGATTTGTGTGTGGACTTCACCAAAAAATACGTGTGAAACTCTGCACTCAAGTTTCAAGTTACAAGTATGAATTTTGACCCTATTTTTCTTCCTTTCATCTGATTGGCCAATGTCATGTCAATCACAAATTTAACTATCCAATCAGAGAACAGATGGGTTTGGCTATTGGAGGGGTGCTTTATGGAGCTTCAGGTCCTTGAAGGGAATAAATGCCCTTTTACATGCCAGCCCAGCGTTTTCCTTCATCATCAGGAAGGAAAACTGTCTGTGGTGGTCCGAGTTTTGTGATTTTTGTGTCACAGATTTATGTGCTTAATACAGGGACCTCCAGAGACTTTTCAACAGTGCTGTGGACCTCGGGGGGCAGTGTTGTGGAAATGACACAGTCTCCACTAGTGGGGATAGTTACAAAGCTTTCTTCGTTATGAATGAGCATACATGTTTTTATTGAACATTTGAAGAACCAGCAAAAAAAACAGAAACGCTTGTAGAGGACATAAAGTCAAAGATAGAAACGACAAGGAGCAGGTGCATCTAGTACAGATGCCACAAAAACCCACAGAGCTCAGCAGCCAGCACAACAAATTCTGGATCCTTGGCTTTTACTTAGCAGTTAGCATTAGCAGCATATGCTGCGTCCGATGTGAAAGGAGCTTTATGCTGCGCACTGTGACTCACAGCAATGCTCCCGGGTCAACCCTGACTTTGTGTTAAACTAATCCTAAAGTAATAATGGTATTTCTAACCACTGATATACCACAACTTTATCCTTTCAACAGCTACTGAAAGTTAGGGGACCTAGCTTCTATCGGATATTTATATAGAGATCCTCCAGCTTCAAACTGTATTACCCTTCAAGGACCTGTGGTTCAAAAAAGCTCCCCTCCGACAGCCAAACCCATCTATTCTCTGATTGGATAGTTAGGTTTCTGATTGACATGACATTGGCCAATCAGCTGAAAGGAAGAAAAATGGGGTCAGAATTTGTACTTGTAACTTGAAACTTGAGTGCAGAGTTTCACACGTATTTTTTGGCGAAGTCCACACACAAATCTTTTTTACATACACACAAGTTCGTTTTACACATACAAATCTTTTTTACACACACAAATTCTTTTTACACATACAAATCTTTTTTACACACACATAAATTCTTTTTACACATACAAATCCTGATTTACAAGTACAAAACTGATTTACAAGTACAAAATATTTATGGCCACAATTTGAGCCCATAGTCAAGATGTGACCCTGTGAACGACTCCCCAAAGCTGGTGCTAGGAGCGCAGCGGTCCACCTAAACAAAGGGCTCTTATACTTAAGCAGATACAGAGTAGGTGTCCTCATATAGTATAAATCAGAAAGAGAAGGTATGACCTCTCTCATGACCTTAGGGTGTGTGTGTGCATGCCAGAACACTCTGGAAGGCACACAGAGTCTTTACAGACTGCTAAGGATCAAACCTCTATCAATCTACAAACATTTATATACTTCTAAGCATAAATGATTATAAATTTCTATGCACAAATGACAATAATAAAACATAAACCCAACATTCACATTAAATACAGAGTGCACCTTTACTGTACACTTCCTAAAGCTGAATGTTCTCACAGGGTTACCCAGCAGAGCTCAGAGGTTCCCAGTGGTCAGTCTGTCGTTCAGCATCAAACAGACCTGGATGCCATATTCATGGTGAGACCAATTAATGCTGTATCAATGACATGGAAGGATGCATTTCGTGTGCTAATTGGACACTAAACAGTTTTAGCAATCAGCTTATAGGTTCTTATTATTTCCTTTTTCAGTTACTGGAGATAAAAATGGTCAATTTTGTAAAGACCGAGCTGAGGAAGATCCAGAAAGTTTTGAGTGCAGATTACCCAGAATGCTTAGAGAGTCTGAGGGAGAATGATGAGATGTTGGAGAATGAGGACGAAGAGCAAAGGAAGAGTAGCAGAGTAGCATTTCTGAAGATCACACTCCACTTCCTGAGGAGAATGAAGCAGAGGAAGCTGGCTGACCATCTTCAGAGCAGTAAGAATCTTTTATTAGCTTTGACATGATGTGGAAGTTGTGGAAGTTTGTATTTCAAACCTCAGCTCATCTTTAATATGATGCAAAACATCTGCACCATTTAACTCCTACTGAGAGGCTGTTTTATTGCTTTATTTTTCATTTATCTGATCGCATTAACTTATTGTAAAAATAACATGATTTTGTGATCCTTCAGGGACCCGTGCTCCAGGGTGCCAACATGAACTCAAGTCTAACATGAAAAAGAAGTTCCAGTGTGTGTTAGAGGAGATTGCTAAAACAGGAAACCCAACCCTTCTGAATCAGATCTACACAGAGCTCTTCATCACAGATGGAGGGACTGCAGGGGTCAGTGATGAATATGAGGTCAGACAAATTGAAACAGCATCCAGGAAACCAGACAGACCAGAAACTACAATCAGACAAGAAGACATCTTTAAAGCCTCATCTGTTAAAGATAAACCAATCAGAACAGTGCTGACAAAGGGAGTGGCTGGCATTGGGAAAACAGTCTTAACACAGAAGTTCACTCTGGACTGGGCTGAAGACAAAGCCAACCAGGACATTCAGTTCATGTTTCCATTCACTTTCAGAGAGCTGAATGTGCTGAAAGAGAAAAAGTTCAGCTTGGTGGAACTTGTTCATTACTTCTTTACTGAAACCAAAGAAGCAGGAATCTGCAGCTTTGAAGACTTCCAGGTTGTGTTCATCTTTGATGGTCTGGATGAGTGTCGACTTCCTCTGGACTTCCACAAAACTACAATTCTGACTGATGTTACAGAGCACACCTCAGTAGATGTGCTGCTGATAAACCTCATCAGGGGGAAACTCCTTCCATCTGCCCACATCTGGATAACCACACGACCTGCAGCAGTCAATCAGATCCCTCCTGAGTATGTTGGCATGGTGACAGAGCTCAATGGATTCACTGACCCACAGAAGGAGGACTACTTCAGGAAGAGATTCAAAGATAAGAAGCAGGCCAACAAGATCATCTCCCACATCAAGATATCTCGAAGCCTCCACATCATGTGCCACATTCCAGTCTTCTGCTGGATCACCGCTATAGTTCTGGAGGATGTGCTGAAAACCAGAGAGGGAGGACCGCTGCCCAAGACCCTGACTGAAATGTACATCTACTTTCTGTTGGTCCAGGCCAAAGTGAAGAAGATCAAATATAATGGAGGCACTGAGACAGATCCATACTGGAGTCCAGAGAGCAAGAAGATGATCAAGTCTCTGGGAAAACTGGCTTTTGATCAGCTGCAGAAAGGAAATCTGATCTTCTATGAATCAGACCTGACAGAGTGTGGCATCAATATCAGAGGAAACTCAGTGTACTCAGGAGTGTTCACACAGATCTTTAAAGAGGAGAGAGGACTGTATCAGGAGAATGTGTTCTGCTTCATCCATCTGAGTGTTCAGGAGTTTTTGGCTGCTCTTCATGTCCATCTGACCTTCATCAACTCTGGAGTAAATCTACTGGAGAAACAGCAAAAAATATCTAAGATGTCCAAAGTATTTAAAGACAAACCTAAACTGAAAGATCTCCACCAGAGTGCTGTGGATAAGGCCTTACAGAGTCCAAATGGTCACCTGGACTTGTTCCTCCGCTTCCTCCTGGGTCTTTCACTGCAGACCAATCAGACCACTCTACGAGTCCTTCTGACACAGACAGGAAGTAGTTCACAGTCTAATCATGAAACAGTCCACTACATCAAGAAGAAGCTCAGAAAGAATCTGTCTGCAGAAAAAATGATCAATCTGTTCCACTGTCTGAATGAACTGAATGATCGTTCTCTAGTGCAGGAGATCCAACTGCTCCTCAGTTCAGGAAGTCTCTCCACAGATAAACTGTTTCCTACTCAGTGGTCAGCTCTGGTATTTGTCTTGCTTTGTTCAGAAGAAGATCTGGATGTGTTTGACCTGAAGAAATACTCTGCATCAGAGGAGGCTCTTCTGGGGCTGCTGCCTGTGGTCAAAGTCGCCAAGAAAGCCCTGTAAGTGGATTTATGAATAAAACAACAACTTTTTATAGAACAAAGCTGCTCATTTTTAGTTGTTTTTCAGGTTGAGTTGTTGTAACCTGTCAGAGAGAACCTGCAAAGCTCTGTCCTCGGTTCTAAGCTCAGAAACATGTATTCTGGAAGAACTAGACCTGAGTAACAACAACCTGCAAGATTCAGGAGTTAAACTTCTTTCTGCTGGTCTGATGAGTCCAAATTGTAAACTGGAAACTCTGAGGTCAGGATGGCAGTCATTCAACAGTTACAGACAGTTCTGAGTTCTGTTTGGTTCTTCTATTCTCTAATTGTATGATTGTCTTTTAACGTCTTGAATTTTGTGGCATTTTGTGGCATTTTTCTTCTTCCAGCCTGTCAGGCTGCCTAATCACAGAGGAAGGTTGTACTTTCCTGACGTCAGCTCTGAGCTCAAATCATTCCCACTTGAAAGTGCTTGACCTTCGCTACAATCATCCAGGAAAATTGAAAGTGAGGCAGGGACTCAAGGATCCACACTGGAAACTCAGGTATGGACAGGGCATGGCTACTCATTTATTACTATTTTGGCTAATTGTTTGCTGATTTAATGTGTTTTTGCTCAGAGCATCATCATAAAGAAGAGCTCATTTTGGGTATTTCTGAATTTTAGCTAGAACAAACCAAAGTTTTAATATCCAGTGACAATATTTCACATATTGGAGGGTTTAACTGGTTTGCACACATTCCAGTCTGGGCGGACTTGGATTCTTTTAGCAGCATCCCAGTTTTAGCAGCATTATTGGTGGATAGCTGCTGTCCATATTAAAAAAAAACCATTTTGTGCTCCAGTAGTACAGGCATTACTGAACACTGTCAGTAGTCTTGGCTTACACTGATAATTTTCTTAGATGATTTAGAACAACAATGTACTTACAAATATTAGATATAAGGAACAAATAAAAGATAACTACCTTAATGTAACTGGGTCAAACTTGGAAGAACAGGGAAAACTCTGGTGCTTCATGTGCAAGAGTTAGATCTCATGTTGAACAGAAAATCATTGTTACTGTGTTTCTTTCTCCAGGCTCGACCATGGTGGACAGCAGTGGTTAAAACCTGGTTTGAGGAAGTGTAAGTTTGACAAATGATGACAAATCAGCAAAATCCAAATTTTATCACTGTGCTATAAGTTGATGTGTGCTCATCCGATCGTTCAGTCTGACGTCACTAGCCGTGTCTGGGCCTAAACTCTGCTGCAGGTCCATATATCAAATGATCACTGTGGCATTACTGAGAGTTGAAAAACTGTCTAAAGTCTTTCATCTTTAATGAAATGATCAGCGTTCTGCTCTACCAGGTGTAACAACTGAGTTTAACATCCAGGCATCCATGAAAACGGAATTTATGACATTTAACAGAGTTAGAAGTCAGCAGGAAGTTAGCTCGCTAGCTTCCATCTAAATACAATATAGCATGTCCTGACTGCGGCGGTTTGGAAACAAATTAAAATGTACAGCTCTGTTATCACTTCCAACATAAATGAAGACAGAAAACTAAACAGCAGTGACGTTTGTAGGGTTACTGAAGTTTGGCTAGCTGGTGTATAATGGTGTGCTACGTGACCGCTAGCGACACAGCTATGTTAGCATAATATAAACAAGCTAACTTTTTTCCACTCAATAAAAGTTAACGTGAGTGTTCTCAGTGGTCAGGAACAAATGTAATCGCATAGCAGGATGCTGTAAAAGGACCAAACTTCAGCCAGGAGAACAACTGAGATAATCCATCCACAATACGAGGTTAGTCATTCATATACATGCATGGGCTGTGCTGTAGTTACATCGTAAGGTTTTAAAAACTGAGCTTAAATAAATGATTAGCGGTAATAAAAGCCGAGGGAGGTCAACGGTGATCACTGACTTTTTTTAGGAGCTTTTTGAAATTAAATAGAAGAAAATACAAAGCATTAAACATGTTAACAACACAAAAGCCATATTAAATGCAAACTACTTTAGGTCCGGAAGTAGGATTCATCACTTAATAATCGGATTAATCCAGGTAAGGAAATCCCAGAAAGCGGATGCTCGTCACATTACCTGTTAATAGTATAAACCTATGAGCTACAATACCATACCCCAACACAAACCCCTATCCTGATGAGAGCACACAAGCTTTCTTTTAATATTTATGTATGAACACAAAGTAGTCACACACGCTGAGCCTACTGATAGAATACTAGAAAACATAAACACATAGAATGGAGGCTGCTACCTGTTGAAGTTCAGGCTCTAGTCGCTGAGCTGGTGAGGTGTATGTCTCCTGAATCCAAACTGGAAGCTGGTTCCACAGAAGAGGGGCCTGAAAACTGAAGGCCCTCCCTCCCATCCTACTTTTAAATACTCTAGGAACAACAAGTGAATCTGCAGTGTGAGAGCGAAGTACTCTAATAGGGTGATATGGTACTATAACCGACCGTGGCTCACCGGGTTAGGAAGCGCATCTGTAACCGGAAGGTCGCCGGCTCTCTGTCCTGGTTATTGTGTCCCTGGGCAAGACACTTTACTGTTGGCCAGAGGGGCCAATGGCACGATATGGCAGCCTTGCTTCTGTCAGTCTCCCCCAGGGCAGCTGTGGCTACAACCGTAGCTTGCCTCCACCAGTGTGTGAATGCGAGAGTGAATGAATAGTGGCATTGTAAAGCGGTTTGGGTGCCTTGAAAAGCGCTATATAAATCCAATCCATTATAACGTCATTAAGATAATATGGGGCCTGATTATTTAAGACCTTGTATGTGCGAGGGATGACAGTGATATTAAGTTTTATATAAATAAAATGACAGAACATAATGAAAGAACAGACACTAGATGTGTCAGATGATAAACTGTATCTCTGCTGTGTGTTTCTCTCCCCATCAGATTTCTGTGAATTAAAAGTGGACATGACTTCAATAAATAAAAAACTCAAACTGTCTGACAACAACATGAAGGTGACCGTTGTGGAGAACAAGCAGCCCTATCCTGATCATCCAGACAGATTTGACTGGTGGAAACAGCTTCTGTGCAAAAATGGGCTGATTGGTCGCTCTTACTGGGAAGTTGAGTGGAAAGGAGGCAGTTTTATATCAGTGAGTTACAAAAGCATCAGAAGGAGAGGAAACAGTGCCGACTGCAAATTTGCGGGAAATGATCAGTCCTGGAGTCTGATGTGTTCTGACGCTTTTGGTTACTCATTCTGGCACAACAATAGAGAAACACCCATCTTCTCCTCCTCCTCCTCCTCAGTCTCTCACAGAGTAGGGGTGTATGTGGACTGTCCTGCTGGCACTCTGTCCTTCTACGGAGTCTCTTCTGACACTCTGATCCACCTCCACACCTTCAGCACCACATTCACTGAACCTCTGTATCCTGGGTTTGGACTGTGGTCCAGTGACTCCTCTGTGTTTCTGAGTCCTTTGTGTACTAACAAGTCTGTAGAGCTAGACTGTTTAGAAGAGGCAGAAACTACAAGTCGGTGGTATGAAAGCTGAATGTGGATGATGTTTCTTTTTTGTTTGCTTTGAATCACATATTCTGGGATTGATATGTTGTGATGTGATTTTGCTTTGCATGATTATCTCCTCACCACTTTACTTCAAACTCACTGATTGTTAACCTCTAATATAATAATAATGGATTGCATTTATATAGCGCTTTTTGAGACCCCTCAAAGCGCTTTACAATACCACTATTCATTCACGCTCACATTCACACACACTAATATCCCTAATATCAGCACATAAATATGTGGGGACATCTTTGCATTTTAAACCCTTTTCTGTTGACATGCTATTTTATCTCAAGATTAACTATTTTTAAAGACTATGAAGTTTGTGAATTAATGGTTAGTTTTATGAATCTAAGAAAAATTTAAAGGTTTTAGTTCAAGTAATGTTAAAAGCTGTTTTACAAACTGCCAAAAATTGTAAATCATTCAGTAATCATTAATAAATCTTAAACATATCAAATGTTCCACGAGGGCAACAATAAAGTGTTAATGCTTTACTAATAATATTAACATGAGTAAAAGTCTAAATGTTGTGTTTATTTTCATATATATATGTTGTTTGTTTATATTTGTCACCAGCAGTGTGGCTGATTATTTGACTCCAGCTGTTATGGTTAATTACTTTTTCATGATAATGAATAAATAAACCAAAGCTGACATGCTAACTTGCTTTGTTTTGCTTTGTAGTTGCTGTTTTAACTGTATTAACAATGACCGTGTTACTTATTAAGCTCTCTCTTCTTTTTTTTTTACTACTTTCTTTTTATTGTTTTTCTTTAAACATTACACAGATGAGATAAGAGGTAACAACAAAACAAAACAAAATTAAATAAAATAAAGAAATAAATTAATAAATTAATTTAAAAAGTGAAAAAAGAACATGTTGGGTCACCATGTTTCTACAATTTGATCGTTTTTCATTATCAATGTGATGGTCTTTATCCAGTTTATGTAATCAGTCCATTTCTCCCACTTTTGATTATATTGATCTTCCTGAGTCCTTATTCTGTAAGTCAGTTGTTCCATAATTTGTATTTCGTCTATAATTTTGATCCATTCATCCTGCGATGGTGGGTCTATCTTGTACCAATTTCTTGTGATAGCCTTTTTACAGGCTGCAAGCATAATTTTCAATATGTATCTATTTTCTTTCAACACATTTCCCGTAATGACACCAAGATATAATAATATACAAGACTTGGACACAGTATAACCCAGAATTTTACTTATAACTAAATGGACATCTTCACAAAATTTTGCGATCTTGGGGCAGAACCAGAACACATGGGAATGAGTCACATTTACATCTCTACAGCTTCTCCAACACGGTTGTGGTAATGAAGTGTGTTTGTTCCTAATTTTGGGTGTTATAAAAAATCTTATTACATTTTTCCAGTAATGCAATCTCCAGACACGTGATGATGTTGTTGACTGCTGTGTTTTCCAGATTTCTGACCATTCCTCATCGGATGTGTTCCCTCCCAACTCTCTCTGCCATTTCAGTTTTACAGATGTTATTGTACACCCTCTTGCCTCCGTTATATGCTCGTAAATTGTTGAGATTATTCTAAAATTTTTTGCATTGTAGGCTTCAGTTATGGTTTTGATTATTGAATTTTTATCCAGATTTACACTATGTTTTACTTCTTTATTAAAAAAGTCCCTAATCTGCAAATATCTGTAGTGATCTTGATTACTTAGATCATATTTTTGTTTGATCTCCTGGAAGTTCATTGCATTCCCATCTTTAATTAGTGTACAGATCTCATCCCGTGGGGTCAAAATGATCATGAGAA